ATTTCTGTTAGCATCCTAACTCCACATTCTTTATTCTTCTAATTTCCCCAAACCAAACTCCTGCTTCCCTCTTCACTCCTGTTTACTTCCCTACTCCCAAAGAGGAAACCTTTGGGTGGGGGTGGAGAGAGGAGTTTGCTATAAACATTAGTATCACCTCTCTGCTCTTCCTGCCTCCTCAAATTGGGGTTTCTCTTCTACTTCTCTTTTCATCAGTTAACCCCAATCCTCCAATTAACAATAAAAAATAGTAAAAGTGTATCTTTTTCACTACATAGGCATTAAAAAGTGTTCAGGAACAATACAATCTTAAGTGAAAACAAATAGCTACCCATTATTATTTTTAAAATTCTAATCATTAGGAAACAAATGGTCAGGATTTATATCCTCTCTGAACTTTTATAAGGAAAGTACAGAAAAGTCAGTCTCACTTCCCAGTGGAGAAATTCATAATATTGTCATGATCTGTACCCATGGGCCACTGAGAATGTAGAAGAGGTGTTCTTCCTTCACGAGGACACTAGTTGGCTATAGGGCTCTCCCCAGGACTGAACTTGTCTGATGCTCACTGAGACAGCTGTACCTGTGATTGAATGCTGCGAGGCTTCTGTACCGGGGTGGTCCATAGCTGCTTCCTGGAGCCCCCAGTAATCCCTCCCTGACCCAGCCCCTTTCTCTGCACCCCCTGATCCAGCACCTAAGGGGTTAACCTCTGACACAGCTGGAGGTCTCAGGGACTCAGCTTGAGTTTGAGGTTAAATATGCTGAACTTTGTCCCTGGACCTCCCCAGTGCCATTATGTATCCCTAAAAAAATGCTGGATTAAAGCAAATACCTTTTGGTTGTCAAGAGCATTGTATCCGTCTCCAAGGAACAACTTAAGCTGCCCCACTTAGAAGCATCTTGGGGAGCAGGGTGGGCACCAAGCCACTCAGGGCTTTGGGACTTGGAATAACAGAATATCTGTGTGAGTGTACTTTAAATCTCTTGGCGAAATGGGGAAAAGCTTAAGAAAAATAAAGGAGCAAGAAGAAAAACAAGTTCTTCTATTAAAGTAGAGGCTGTGTCTTACCTTTTCACCCACAGCACCTAGCATAAAGCTGCATATAGTATGCACATGGTGAATGTAAACTGAGTAAATGAATGCATGAGTGGGTTGGGTGCATGCCCCCCGCTCTGTCCTGAAGACATGCTTGTTGGAATGATGTTAACTCACATTTGCATAGCAGTTTAAAGTTTACAAAGTGGTGCCTTTGCACCTTGTAAATCTCAAATATAATTCTGATACTCTTCATTAATTTCATTTCCCCCCTCACATGTAGTCCTACACAAAGTTTTTTCCAAAGGATGGTACGGAGTTGGCCAAGAAACCACAGGCAGGGAGAAGAAATTGTAAATAATGGCAAATAAAGGATTCTTCTTAGGGAAAGAAATAGGATTTGTTAGCAGTCTGTGGGAGTGGTATAAAGGGCTCCAGTATGCTTCAGCAATACCCTCTGCTTCTATTTTAAGCACGTGCTGGTTTTGCCCAAATCCTGCAAAGACTTACACCCTTGTTGCAGTCTGTCTGTTCCCTACGCCTTGCCTTCACCATTCACCCAGCAACCTCCTCCTTGCCAGGACTCCCTTCAGCCTCTCAGCCTCCACCCTGGGCTGGATTAGGTTCTCCTTTCTTCCTTCCATAGCACCCGCTCCATCTGATTTGCAGCGTTGGGCTGTAATTACATAGTTAGGTTGATCTCCAGCTAGATTGTGATCCCTTTGGCCAAGAGGTTATATTCTTGTGTCTCCAGTGCCTGGCACCGGAGTGTTTCTAAATATAGCATCTGGACACCCTTCAATCAGAATCTCGATGGGTGAGGCCCAGGAATCTCCTTTAAAAAAAAAATACACATTTTTATTGATATCAGAGAGGGAGAGGGAGAGATAGAAAATCAATGATGAGAGAGAATCATTGATGGGCTGCCTCCTACACGCCCCCTACTGGGGATCCAGCCCACAATCCAGGCATGTGCCCTTGACCAGAATCTAACAGGGACCCTCAGTCCCCAGGCCGACGCTCTATCCACTGAGCCAAACCGGCTAGGGCTCTCCTTTTCTTTTATTAACCTGCTCTCGAGATGATGCTTAAAGCCAGTTTGAAAGCCACGGTGTCATACAACCTCAGGTTCGCTGGATGAGTGTATTGGGAGGTGTTTCTGTCTTTTCCGTGCCGGGCTTTCTGTGCGCAGGGTCAGAGCTGACACATTCCGGTGCCTTTGACGAAGATCAGGAGAGCACTCCACCGGCTACAGTAACTCCTTTCTGTTGCAGGGGATGCATTTCTGTGTGCAGGCTCTTCTGCCTCGGGTCTCTCTTGTCACGTGCCGCTCCTCTGTGAGCTGAGGCCCTGACTCCCCTCCCCACAGAAGGAAGAGACCTTTCTCTCTGAAGATGAACTCCACGGACCACTTCCCGGACGCTCCCAACACCACCTGGCCCCTGCCTGGCGCGCCGGGAGCAAACGGCACTGCTCGGCAGGAGGGTCTCCACGGCCCGGTCCACACGGCCACCTTGGTGACCTGTACTTTCCTGCTCGTGATCATCTTCTGCCTGGGCTCCTACGGCAACTTCATCGTCTTCTTGTCCTTCTTTGATCCGGCCTTCAGGAAATTCCGAACCAACTTCGACTTCATGATCCTGAACCTGTCCTTCTGCGACCTCTTCATCTGCGGGGTGACGGCCCCCATGTTCGCCTTCGTGCTGTTCTTCAGCAGCACCCCGGACGCCTTCTGCTTCACCTTCCACCTCACCAGTTCCGGCTTCATCATCATGTCCCTCAAGACAGTGGCCGTGATCGCCCTGCACCGGCTCCGCATGGTGCTGGGGAAGCAGCCGACTCGCACGGCCTCCTTTCCCTGCACCCTGCTCCTCACTCTGCTGCTCTGGGCCACCAGTTTCAGCCTGGCCACCGTGGCCACCCTGAAAACCCGCAAGTCCCACCTGTGCCTTCCCATGTCCAGTCTGATGGCTGGAGAAGGGAAAGCCGTCCTGTCTCTCTACGTGGTCGACTTCACCTTTTGTGTGGCTGTGGTCTCTGTCTCTTACATCATGATTGCTCAGACCCTGCGGAAGAACGCTCAGGTCAGAAAGTGCCCCCCTGTGATCACCGTGGACGCTTCCAGACCGCCGCCTTTCATGGGGGCTCCGGGGAAGGGAGGCGGAGACCCCATCCAGTGCACCGTGCCCGCTCTATACAGGAACCAGAATTACAACAAACTGCAGCACGTTCAGACCCATGGATACACTCAGAGTCCCAACCAGCTGCCAACCCCTGCAGCCAGCCGGCTCCAGCTGGTATCGGCTGTCAACCTCTCCACAGCGAAGGACTCCAAAGCGGTGGTCACCTGTGTGGTCATCGTGCTGTCGGTCCTGGTCTGCTGTCTTCCCCTGGGGGTTTCCTTGGTGCAGGTGGTTCTGTCCAGGAGTGGGAGCTTCATCCTTTACCAGTTTGAGCTGTTTGGATTCACCCTTATCTTTCTCAAGTCAGGGTTAAACCCTTTTATATATTCCCGGAACAGCACGGGGCTGAGAAGGAAAGTGCTCTGGTGCCTCCAATACATTGGCCTGGGATTTTTCTGCTGCAAACAGAAGACTCGCCTTCGAGCCATGGGCAAAGGGAACCTCGAGGTCAACAGAAACAAGTCCTCCCATCACGAAACAAACTCTGCCTACATGTTGTCTCCAAAGCCCCAGAAGAAATTTGTGGACCAGGCTTGTGGCCCAAGTCATTCGAAGGAAAGTGTGGTCAGTCCCAAGATCTCCGCTGGACATCAGCACTATGGCCAGAGCAGCTCCACGCCCATCAACACCCGGATGGAGCCATACTACAGCATCTATAACAGCAGCCCGTCCCAGGACGAGCACATCCCATGTAACTTACAGCCAGGAAACTCGTTTGGATTTGCCAGTTCCTATGTGGCCATGCATTACCACACCACTAACGACTTACTGCAAGAGTGTGACAGTGCCTCGGCCAGGCAGATTCCCGTCCCCTCTGTTTAGAGCGGCGGAGGCTGGAGCATCGTGTGTAAACTGGTCCTGTTTCTGGCACTAAGGGATTTTTTATTTTCACTTTTGTGAGACTAGTTGTAGATCAAAGCTTAAAGGCTCAACTAAACAATTGGCAGTTATGATTTTCTTTGGTCTGATTGATTAGCATCTATTGGTTTGCTTTGTGGTCTCTTGACATGTTAAGGTTTAATGTAAAAGTTTATTATTTAGAATTTTGCCCTGACCTGTGTTCCAATCTCTTGTACTAAACTTTTAAGTAGATCGTGCTACCATGTTAAAGTAGAGAATGATCTTTTGACTCAATGTTATGGGTCTTTGAAGTACATATGAGCTGGATATTTGAAAGAGTGTGAAGGTGTATAATTTTTACTGAGGTGGTATTTTTATTAACCGAATTATAAATTTTGATTTTTTGAAGTGTTGAAATGGGGAAGAATATACTTTTTTTGGGGGAGCAGACTTATTTGAATACATAATACATTGTTAAAGCAGAAAATCAGAAATACATTATCTATATAATTATCCTTACAAAAAACACACAGCTATTAGGTACTTTCCTAAGACAGTCAACCAAGAATATACTATTATTATTATTACCATTTATTATTATAGACATTGTTATTTTGTGTCAATTGAGTAGCTATATAGAGCTGTGGTGTTTTTGTTTTTGTTTTTTAAGAAAGATGTTATTGCCCTAGCTGGTTTGGCTCAGTGGATAGAGCGTCGGCCTATGGACTAAAGGGTTCTGGGTTCAATTCCAGTCTAGGACACATGACCGGGTTGTGGGCTCGATCCCCAGTGGGGGACGTACAGGAGGCAGTCAATCAATGATTCTCTCTCATCAATGGTGTTTCTATCTCTCTCTCCCTCTCCCTTCCTCTTTGAAATCAATTTTATATATATATATATATGAAAAAAGAAAGAAAGATGTTATCCCTTGGTAAAACTAAATTATTCTATTCTATTCTATTCTCTAGAATCCTAATGAAGAGGACTGCACCTGTGGTAGCGGTATGCTACTCCTGGGAGAGTCGGTGCTAAACGTGTTCACCTCAGTCAGGGTTTTGTTATCTGGGAAGCAATATAGACTGTTATGTGTTAGATGATGTTTATTATTGCTTAAGAAGGCATAAGGATGAGAATTGGAATTTTCTAAAAAATATGTTTTTATTGATTTCAGAGATATGAAGGGAGAGAGAGAGAGAGAGAGAGAGAGAATCATTGATCAGCTGCCTACTGCATACCCCCTACTGAGGATCAAGTCCACAACCCAGGCATGTGCTCTGACCCGGAATCGAACCGTTACCTCCTGGTTCATGGGCCAACCCTCAACCACTGAGCTACACTAGCCAGGCTGGGAATTTTAAAAAATATATTTCTATTGACTTATTTTTAGAAAGACAGGAAGGGAGAGGGACAGAGAGAGAAGTATCAATATGAGATGTAAGAAGGGAACATCAGTTGGCTGTCCCCCTCATGTCCCCCTGGGGATTGAGCCTGCAACCGGGGCATGTGTCTTGACTGGAAATCAAACCAGCAACCCTTGGTGCATTGGATGACACCCAATCCAGGAGCCACCCCGTCCAGGGCGAGAATGGGAATGTTTTGATTTCTGCTTTCCTTCTGTGTGAGATGGTTTGTTAACAATCTGATGAAGCATATCCAAGTAACTATTTAAAAAAATGTTTTTTGTCTTTCTTTATATATTATTGTGGTAGAAAAATCCTTAAGATCTCTTTTTACTAGTGAACTAATTGTGTTATTCTCTCCCATTAATCTTAAACTGGAGATGGGCAGTAAGGGAAAATAGATTAAGTATTTGTATACCTAAAACTAATTTTATTATATACAGTACTCTGTGATTCCTAGCATAACAACTGTAAACTCATATTTTTATGTAAAAATGTTTTCATTTACAATTAGCATTTGAACTTATTATAGTTTTAGAACTGTAACTGCTAGACACAGGATGAGCATCAAGATACAAAATCTGTCTTTTAAAAAAAATCTATCTTTAGAAATTGTTATATTCAAGAACAGTTATTGCAAATTGGACAGCACTTTACTCCTGTGGATGAAAGATATTGTTTGTAGCATCCTCTCCCAGGCTGGTCCCAAGTACAGAGGTCAAGCGGGGCATGGAGAAGACACAGTGGGCACTCAGCTAGAACTCTGCTCAACCTCCTCTAACAACGCTTCCCTTTCAGCATCGGCCATTTATTTATATTTCTGAGACTGAAGTATGAGATATGGGTTTCAATTTCTTTTATTTTTTCAAAATATATTTTTAATGATTTCAGAGAGGAAGGGAGAGGGAGAGAGTGATAGAAACATCAAAGATGAGAGAGAATCATTGATCACCTGCCTCCTGCATGCCCCCTAATGAGAATCATAGGCCAGGCAGATGCCCTGACTGGGAATCAAACCAGTGACCTCCTGGTTCCTGAGTCAATGCTCAACCATTGAGCCAAACCCAGCTGGGCTCAACTTTTTAAAAAAATTCACCTTTCAGTACTCTTCCCTTCCTTCTCTTCCTTTTTTTCTTTTATTTTTGCTATGCAATTTTATAATAGCAGAGCAAATATCCACTCTTTTATTTTTGGAATGGAATGCTATTTTTGGAAGTCATTATGGCCACTTCAATTGTGCTTTTATATTTTAAATATAACACTGTTTTCATGTATTAATACTCTCATGAGATAGGTTAGTATATTATCTCTTTTTAAACAAAGGATTAAGATATCTAACATCCTCTCTCAAGATCATTTGAAGTATTTTGGCAATCTAGGAATTGGACTTTTTGTCTAAAATCAGACCCTGGTATTTATTCCAATAAGCCAGATAACTTTGTAACTAATAACATTAATGAAGAAGATATTTCACACTTTTAAAGGTATGTATCTCTTTTTTGGTCAGGGATTTCAAATGTGAGTCAATAAAAGATTTTTTTTAAAGTAATGTCTACTTGTAAAATTAAAGCTGACAGGTTTCCTGTGTGGCATTGGAGATGACTTGGCTCATTTGGGGAGGTGCAAATTATAGTACAAAGAAAACTAAGCATGTGCATAGGTGGCATTCAGTCTCTTTATGCTCATCAATAAATTAGCAATTTAATTTGCATGAAATACATAGTGGGCTAGATTAGCCCTCCTCCATATCTATATCCATTTGTAGATATAGATATAGATGGACATATATAACTTCTCTCTTCAGAAGGGCTAAAATGAGAACTAGAAGTAATGAGAATTCAGTTGAATATGATGAATTACCAGGTTATATTAATTAGTTCTCTTGATGCTTTACTGTGATGCATTTCAAGCACTTTATAATTGTCCTGAGGTTAATCACTAGGCCAGATTTGTATTTCTGATGCTTTTAATGTTCTTTTAAAATAATGTTTGAAAAATAAAAATATTGATAATTTTAACATTGCTGAATATCAGATTGCAATAGTATGACTTTTCTGTCCAATCATTTAAAAACTATCAGAGACTAACAGTGATCATTATTGCATAATAGATAACAATGTATTGCCCTAGCCAGTTTGGCTCAGTGGGTAGAGTGTTGGCCCATGGACTGGGCTCAATTCTTGTCAAGGGCACATATCTCAGTTGTAGGTTCCATCACCAGCCCTGGGTCGGGGCACGTGTGGGAGGCAACCAATCGATGTGTCTCTCTCATATTGATGCTCCTCTCTCTCTGCTCTCCCCCTCCCTTCCACTCTTTCTACAATCAAACAAAAAACCAATGTATTGAAGCTCAGAGAGAGTTATTTTCATTAAAAGATGAAATAATTTACTTGATCACATTTTGTAGCATGCATAAATGCTCAAGACTAACTAAGAACTCCAAAGGTTAATTATTTATTCAACTAAGTTTCTCACCTGGCAGGAAAAGTCTTGACTAATCATTTCAAAAGCTTCTTTAAAACAAGATTAAAATCTGGAAAAAGATACAGAGTTTTAGAATTTTTAGTTTAACTATCAGAGTTTGCTTTTAAGAACCAAAAAATATTAATTTAAGCAGAAAAGGACTGAATATAGGAAATTCTATGTCTACTAAATCATTAGAAGTTTGGGGCTCTCACAGATTTCCAGGAAAGATTCCATGATCAACACTGACCAGCTGGGAGAGCTGCCACTTTTGCTGTACCTGGGAGGGGAGAAGTCAGGAGGCCTCCTTGGGCCTTCAATGTCAAGGGCACCTGCTGAAGTTGTTATTCAACGATCAGGAACCTGCTGCCACTGCTGCTACCTCCACAACTAACCCTCTCGACACCCCCAAAGCAAGCGGCTGACACCAAAACAGGGCTGCAGAGAAAGGTTGGCACTGTGCATTTAGTTGATGGAACCCAAATTGCATTTAAAACCCTAGCCACCTGCCAATCTGGAAACTGTAGGTTACACTGAAAAGGTAAACTAAAAGGAGGTTTGGAACAGACACTGAGTTCCAATTTCCTCTGTCCACAATGAGCCACCAGTTTGGGTCTTAACCTTTGTATCCACACCCCTAGGCATTCTTCCAAACAACAGCAGTAACACCTTTCCTCACTTGACATAATGCAACTTCTCTCATCGAAACAAAACAAGACTCCATACCTCCAGCCTGGCTGCTTTTATTATCTCCTGTATCTTTGGTGTTCTGCCGTTTAGCTTGGGATTTGTTGGACTCCTTGAAACTGTATCCTGGTGTCTTTCATCAGTTCTGGACAATTCAAATTTGTTTTTCAAATATTGTTTCTGTCCCATTTTTTCTACTCTTTTTTTTTTTTTTTTTTTTTTTTTTACCTTGGCTTTTATTTTTTTTTCTATGTCTTTGTTTCTCTGTTGTAGTCATACACTGCTTAATGACATTTTGATCAAAGATGGACCACACCTACAGTGATGGACCCATAAAATTACTAGTATAGTGGAGCTAAAAACTTCCTAGTTATGTAGCCATCATAATGTCATGGCATAACGCATTACTCATGTGTTTGTGGTGATGCTGTGTAAACAAACCTACTACACTGCCAGTCCTATAAAAATATAGCCCCTACAATTATGTACAGTATATACTAGTAATGCTTGATAATGATAAATGATTGTTACCAGTTTAGGTATTTACTATATTTTTTATCAGTATTTTTTTAATTTTTATTTTTTTAAATATATTTTTATTGATTTCAGAGAGGAAGGGAGAGGGAGGGAGGGAGAAATATCAATGATGAGAGAGAATCATGGATCGGCTGCCTCCTGTGTGCCCCCTACTGGGGATCAAGCCCGTAACCCCGGCATGTGCCCTGACCGGGAATTGAACCGTGACTTCCTTCTTCATAGGTTGATGTTCAACCACTGAGCCATGCCGGCCGGACTTCATCTGTATTTTAGAGTGTACTCTTTCTGCTTATGAACAAATTTGCTGCAAACCAGTATGTTGTGTTGCATACATCTTGTGTTTACTGTGTCTCTTTTTAAAAATAAATATTTTTATTGATTTCAGAGAGGAAGGGAGAGGGAGAGAGAGATAGAAACGTCAATAATGAGGAGAATCATTGATTGGCTGCCTCCTGCATACCACCCCACCCCACTTGGGATAGAACCGACAACTGGACATGTGCCCTGACTGGGAATCAAACCATGACCACCTGGTTCGTAGGTCGACGCTCAACCACTGAGCCATGCTGGCCAGGCTACCATGTCTCTTGATTGCATCATTTTCTCTTGTGCTTGATTTAATCTCATGTTATTTTGTTCATCATGGCCCCTAAGTGTGCAAAATCCAGTGTTAATGTTGCCAGCTAGAGGCCATATCCAGTGATTGACCTGGAAACAAAATTAAAAATGATTAAGGACTAGGAAGGTGGAAAATCAGCTCGCCAATCAGGCCTGTCCCATTCCACCGGAGCTATGATTCTGAAGAACAAGAACAAAGTGACAGAGCTGTTAAAATATCTGCTTCAGCCCTAGTTGGTTTGGCTCAGTGGAGAGAGCATGGGCCTGCGACTGAAAAGTCCCAGGTACGATTCTGGTCAAGGGTCAAGGGCCCAGGCCCGGGTTGTGGGCTCGATTCTCAGCGGGGTGTGCGGGAGGCAGCCAATCAATGATTCACTCTCATTGATGTTCCTATTTCTCTCTCCTTCTCCCTTCCTCTCTGAAATAAATAAAAATATTAAAAATAAAAGATAAATTTAGTGTAGTCTAAGAGTAGTGTGTGTAAAGTCTACAATAG